GAGAGGCACAGACGCGGGGTCAGGGGACGGAAGGCCGAGCAGGCGAAGGGCTGACACCGGCGAGGACTGCTGCTGCGGCGGTACAACACCAACACCGGGATCGCAAGCTGCTCCTCGGCTACCTCCGGGACACTCCAATCCGGCACCCCCAGAAGGAACACCCCCAGAGCCCGAAACCCCTCGGGCACCGGTACCACCCCTAGGGCCACCGGGGCAGGCCACAACAGGAACCCCAGATCTAGCACCCACCCCAACGCGGACACCCCCAGAGTCGACGAACTGCTGCTGCGACGGCGACGGCGGTGGCGGCGGCGGTGGAGATGACGGCTACGACAGTAGAGGCGACGGCGGCTGCAGAGGCTGTAGAGGAGGAGACACCGGGGGAGGGGCAGACGGCGAGGACTGCGCCGCAAGACCACCATAGTCAGAGGACTCCTCGACTGGGACAATCGACGGGAGAGGGGTGACGTGGGACACACCAGAGGGGGCAGGACAGGGAGGGGGAGGGGGGGGGGGGCAGGGACGACCGGGGAAGGAGTGACCAGGAACAGGGGGGGAGTAGCAGGGGGACCGCGGTGGGGGAAGCGACGGTAGAAGGAGACGGACTCGTCAAAGGTGACGTCGCGAGAGTGAAAGAACCGGTGAGACAGCGGGTGGTAGAAGTGCCAGTCGGACGCGTCAAGGGGGAAACCGAGGAAGACACAGGGAAGGGTGCGGGCAGTGAGCTTGTCCGTGCCAGAGGCACGAACGTGAGCAAGGCAGCCCCAGACGTGGAACGCAGATGCGTCACCAGCAGACCCGGACCAAAGAACGTTCGGCGAAACCTGCGGCCGCTGGGGGTGCGGCCACAGGTTAAGCTGGTGAGCAGCGTAGCGCACGGCGAACGGCCACAGAAAATGGGGTGCACCGGCATGGATCATGGAGATGCGAGCCACCTCCATGACCAAACCGATGCGTCCCCATTCTGCTATGGGGAGTCCAGCAGGGTGAACGTCTGGGTGATGCCCTCCGCACGACAGAAGCGACAAAGGACACCTGAGGCAAACTCGCCACCACGGTCGGAGTGAAGACGCAAGACAGGGAGACCTCGGTGGACACGGGCAGAGACAAGCCAGGGGATGAGAGCGTCAGGCACGTCGGCCTTGCACTCCAAGGGAAAGACTGTGGTGTAGCGAGTGAAGTCGTCGACAAGCACTAGGAAGTAGCGCTCTTGACGCAGCCCATGGATGGGGGCGGGGCCCCAGACGTCCATGTGCAGGGTCTGCAGCAGTGCAGCGGTAGGGGAAAACGAGGAGGAGTGAGGGGCACGGCGAAGCCGACCCTCGACACAAGGCGTACAAGGTGGGGCGGGGGAAGAGGGAAAAGCGATGAACGAACCAGGGAGACCAAGGACGAGACCGTGCTGGGACATGTGACGCAGACGCGGGAGCGCAGGGTGACCTAGGCGGTGGTGCCAAAGGAGAGTCGGGTGAGTGAGGGACCGACAGGAGCAGGCAGCAGCAACCTGGGTAGACGCAGCCACCTGAAGGGGCGCCCCACCCGGGGGGGTCACGGTGTCCAGGATGAACAGGCCGGACACCGGGTCCCGGGGAACGTGGACAGGGGGGCACCAGTGGCAGCCTCGGTACAGACACCATACCGCTCGTGACCAGGGAACGTTGTGGTGACGCCAAGGTCCTGGAGGCAGCCGACACCGACTAGGTTCCTCGAGAACAAGGGGATATGCAGACCTGTGAGAGAGCCCGAAGGAACCACCGGACAGGGAAGGGTGGTGGAACTGCGGGCGACTACTGGACCGCCGGAGGGGTCAGCAAGAGAAACTGCAGCAAGAACAGGAAGCGGCGTCAGCGTAGTAGAGTCGCGGAAGAAACACCGGGAAGCGCCAGAGTCCAAGGTGAAGGAAAGCGAAGCAGTGGCGGGTGGTGACAGGGCGACGGCGGAAGCACCAAGGCTAAACAAAGCAGAAGCCCCTACGCCTGACGCAGTAGGGGACACTAATCTAGGCACACCTACACTAGGCGACAAGGAGTAATAAGGGGGGAGCACACTAGAGTCATCAGCATACATCACATGCAGCGCAGAAACAATGGCATCCATGTCCATGTCAAAAATATGAACTCTACGGCTAAGCAAACTGTGCCAGTCCGGGAGGTCGGGCGACGGGCCGAAGCGCTGACGAAACAGGTCGTCCAGGCGACGAAAACAATGGGCAGTGGCGGGACCGATCTTACCGCAAACGAAGCCGCGGCGAGGACCGGTCTGGATCTGGTACTGACTGCGCACGCCTCCCGAACCGCCACCCGGCACACCACCACGTGCACAACCACCACCAGCGCCAGGCCACCCGGGCGGGAGGGCACTCGCCTGCCTCGTCTACGGCGGCTGCTGTGGCTGCTGCGGCTGCTGCGGCAGCTGGGGCGGCGGCTCAGCTGGACCTGGCAGGGTCCCCTCGTCTACTCCACCACCAAACGACCCGACTCCACCACCAAACGACCCGACTCCACCACCACCTCCACTTGCACCCCCACCTCCTCCGCCGCGCCCAGCCTTGGGGCGGCGGCCCTTCCCCGGACGGAACTGCGCTGCAGCGGCGGTCTCAGCCACAGCTGCAGAACCATCGGAGAAGGTGCACTGAGCGGGGGCACAACCCTGAAAGATAGGGACCGGGACAGTACCGCTCGCCTGGGCGATAGAGCGGTGGCGGGTCTCAATAACAGTCAGGGTGTCTACAAAGTCGGTGAGGGTGAGGTCACCGGGGTGAATGCTAAGGAAGCGATCACGAGCAGCGGCAAGGCGGTCAGGGAGGCGGGTGGCAAGCAGGTAGAGGGTAGAGGTAAGGGGCGGCTGGTGGGCTCTAAGCTGTGCGTCAGTACAGGCAGCGCGCCAGGTCTCATCTATCATGCGCAGGTGGGCAGCCAGGTCAGCGACAGTGGGGAAAGACGCAAGGTCAGGAAAAAGCATCGGTAAGATCAGGCGAGCCACCGAGGCAGCAGGCGGGGCGGAATAGCGCCGGATAACAGCATCTAAGAAAGCCTGGGCGGTGGTGATAGGCCTAAAGCGAGGGCGCTCAGACGGGGGGAGGGCATTGCTAATGGCAAGCTGGGCAACAGCGTCACGGGAAAGCCAGACAGAGCGAGCGAGGGCAGCGGCCGCAGTAAACTCGCGCTCAGCAGGTGTGGGGTCAGCGGGCAGTACAGCAGGGTGGTCTGGACAGGGAAGCGTACCGTCAAGGTGTGCCGAGTGCGAGTGGCCATCCTGCCGTTGACCAGTGAGGTGGCGGCGGAGGTCGGCTAGCCACGCCTCGAACTCCAGAGGCTGGCCTTCACCGTCGAAGCGAAGCTCCGCCGCCATCAGGAACAATGCAGGGCAGGGCCAGGTGAGGCAGTGTAGCGCGGTACAGTGCAGTGCGATACAGCGCAGTGCAGTGCGGTGCAGTGCAGTACAGTACGGTGCAGCGCGGTTCAGTGCGGTGCAGCGCAGTACAGTGCGGTACAGTGCGGTGCAGCGCGGTGCCAGGGAGGTATGGTGCAGTGTAAGGTGATGGAGAACCGTACCAGGGAGGGTGCAGTGCAGTAGCAGCACGAAGAGCGGGCCGCACGCAGATCGGCGGCAGTCCGGCGGGAAGGTGAGCACGGGGCCGGAGGGCGACGGGCAGGGCGCGCGCAGGGGTCGGCAGAACGGGCGCGGGGGCCAGTAGCGGCGGGCGCCGGGCCGGCGAGGACGGGCGCGGGGGCCAGGTAGGACGGGCGCGGGGGCCAGGTAGGACGGGCGCGGGGCTAGCTAGGACGGGCCTGGGACGGGCGCAGGGTCTGCTAGGACGGACGCGGGGGCCTGTAGGACGGGCGCGGGGGGGCCGCTAGGTCGGGCGCGGGGCCGGCTGAGACGGGCGCGGGGGCCGCTTGGACGGGCGCGGGGCCGGCTAGGACGGGCGCGGGGGCCGCTAGGACGGGCGCGGGGCCGGTTGAGACGGGTACGGGGGCCGCTAGGACGGGCGCGGGGCCGGCTAGGACGGGCACGGGGGCCGTTAGGACGGGCACGGGGGCCTGTAGGACGGGCGCGGGGTCGGCTAGGACGGGCGCGGGGGCCAGCTAGGACGGGTGCAGGGGCCGTTAGGACGGGCGCGGGGGCCGACGAGGATGGGCGCGGGGGCCAGCTAGGACGGGTGCAGGGCCGGTAGGACGAGCGCGGGGGCCAGCTAGGACGGGCGCGGGGCCAGCTAGGACGGGCGCGGGGCCGGCTAGGAGGGGCGCGGGGGCCGTTAGGACGGGCGCGGGGGCCGGTAGGACGGGCGCGGGGCCGAGAGGACGGGCGCAGGGGCCTGCTAGGACGGGCACGGGGGCCAGTAGGACGTGCGCGCGGGCGCAGCTAGGACGGGCGCGCTAGGTTGGGCGGCTAGGGCCCGGCTAGGGCGGTCGACTAGGACGGGCGCGGGGGCGGCTAGGTCCTAGAGCGGAAGCGTGAGCAGGCGGCGGGACCTACCTACTGCTGATACCATCTTAGAACTGAATAATAATTGAGTAGAGAGTGAGGGTACAAGTGAATATACCTAAGTGTTGTACCCTCTAAGAGGTGACCCTATACAGTCTATGCAAACATAAGAGATACACATGTTTGACAAAAACATCCTGATATCTGAGGGGCTGCCTAGGACGCAGGGTAATTCTGTAGCAGTACCCTGATTTCCAAGGGTGCCTCTAAACCAATTTTGGGCCCTGATCCGGGGGAATACGGTACTCGGCGTGAAACTTGTAAAATTCTCAAGTTCCCGTGTGTGTACGCCAAGTGTTTAAGGGGAAAAATTAGTAGCGACCCTGGTTGTACTTGCTGGACCCTACAAAAATCAGACTTGCTAAGTTCTGGACTCAGCCGTTTCAGAACACCGAAATTTTGGCTAGAGGCCCCTCAGACTAGAACTTTTGTTTTCTGGGGGGTTGGCTCAGAGTGCCTTTTTTTGAAACATCAGGCCTGATTGTCTCGTTTTCCTTGTTACTACCAATTTCCGACACTCACTATTTGCGCCTCACAAAATGGCAAAAAAAAAAACACAGGTAAATCAACACTAAGAACACCACAACACACCACTGCCTGAGTCTGGGGTAACATAGAGTTGATGCATTCGAAATGTAACTCGTTAAAGGAAGAACTAAGGTACAGAGGCACTATGGAATCCCTGAGCTGCCTTGCCTCTCACGACGATGACAGCGCAATCTGCAACAGCAGGAAGAAAGCAGAATCAGCGAGGGAAGGAGGCGGCGGAGTGGGAGGGTGGAAGGGGAGGAATCGAGATGTGAGGGCAGAGGGATAGGGGCATGAGATGTGGGTAGGAACAATAATTTGTGGGCAGGAACAATAATTTGTGGGCAGGAACAAGAATATGTGGGTAGGAACAAGGATATGTGGGTAGGAACAACAATACCGTAATCCCCCGTATATAACACCCTATGGTGTATATAAAAATTCACTAAAAAAATGACTGGGTGTTAACAGTGGCCCGGAAAAATATAGTGCCCATGTGTTATGTAAAATGCAATTTGAATTTGAGTGTTTTAGGCCATGTGTGTTCAAAACTGCGCGGAGCGACTGTTAGCGAGGTACAGCATCCGCTCCGACGAAACTCACAAACCAATCGTCGTTGGCCAATCCCTGCTGAGTGCTATAGTCAAGGCCAGGTTTGTGCGGCACCTGCGACCGTCATGATCGCGACAGAATCCGCGACTTCGACGGGAGGATTTCGCTCGGGAGGATTCTGACCGTCAAATCACAACAGAATCCGCGAATTCGACGGTCGAAATCCTCCCGAGTCTTGACCTTTGCTGACATTTCCATTTCGCGCTGCAACTTGTGTTGATGTTTCTGCCCGTTTTTTCGCTGCTAATGGTAGTTGACATTGCGTTTTTCATCCTGTTCGTTTTTTTTCTCAATCGAGCTGAGCTTGAAAAACTACGAAATACTGTTCTTTGCTGCATAAAACGAGGAGGGTGTTATGTAAAATGCAACCCCCGAAAAGCGGGTGCTCTCCTAAATTCACCCTATCATAAGCTCTCCCCCGCATAAACCACCCGCGGAGTGACTATTTCGGCGGGTGTTATATACGGGGGATTACGGTATGACTCGGAAGGGTAAGGGGAATGGGATGTGGGTGGGGGAAGGGTCAGGGGGATGAGATGTGGATAGGAAATGGAGGAGGATGAGAGGAATAGTCAGCTGGGCTAAGCTTTCTGGTATGCGAGCAGCGCTCATATGAGCTAAGAGCGTGTTCCTAGGGCCTTTCATCAGAAGAACCTCTGTTCAGGCTAGTGTTGCACCGTTCTAAACCGCACTAAACCAGCTCGCATCATAATTGCACTGTACAGTACGGCACACGGCTGATACGAGGCATGCCTGATTGGAGGTGTAGCAACACTCTCTAAGCTCATTACAAGCCTCACCTGCATTGCGTGAGCAGTAATCACTGACCGAGCCAAGGAAGGTCCTGCAGGGGGGGAGAGAGCGGGTAGGGGAGGATAAAGGAGAGGACAAGGGACAAGGCGCGGAAGCACTGGTTGAAGGGGGTGGAGAACCATAGACTATTTTTTAGGCCTCTCAAAAGTAGCACTGGTTGAAAGGGGTGAAGAGCAGCAGTAACCGTTGACTGAGCCAAGGAAGGGCCCGAATGGGTAAGAGAGGATGGGGTTTAGGAAAGCGAGGACGGGGGATTGGGAACGGATGAAGAGGCGGGTGATGGGGGCAGAGAGCAACAGCCCTGCTCATCCCAAGCGCTGCAGCGTCCCTCGCAACCACGTCTACCTTGCACTCACGTCAAGCGCTGCAGCGTCCCTCGCAACCACGTCTACCTGGCACTCACGTCAAGCGCTGCAGCATCCCTCGCAACCACGTCTACCTTGCACTCACGTCAAGCGCTGCAGCGTCCCTCGCAACCACGTCTACCTGGCACTCACGTCAAGCGCTGCAGCGTCCCTCGCAACCACGTCTACCTTGCACTCACGTCAAGCGCTGCAGCGTCCCTCGCAACCACGTCTTCCTTGCACTCACGTCAAGCGCTGCAGCGTCCCTCGCAACCACGTCTACCTTGCACTCACGTCAAGCGCCGCAGCGTCCCTCGCAACCACATCTACCTTGCACTCACGTCAAGTGCTGCTCATGACAAGCGCTGCAGCATCCCTCACCACCACCTCGTCCAGAATCCACGCTCTCACGGACCTTATGCACGTATTTCACGTGCTTTCGAAGTCTACTGTAGGCACCCACACGCACCTCTGCACCGGGCTGAGACCCCTGGAGCTCATGACAAGCGCTGCAGCGTCCCTCACCACCACCTCGTCCAGAACGACGTGCTTGGGGTCGCCTGACTTGATCGCCTTGTCTACCTTGAGACCCTGAGAGAGAGGACAAGAGAGGGAGAGAGAGGACAAGAGAGGGAGAGAGAGGACAAGAGAGGGAGAGAGAGGGAGAGAGAGGGAGAGCGAGGGAGAGCGAGGGAGAGCGAGGGAGAGCGAGGGAGAGAGAGGGAGAGCGAGGGAGAGCGAGGGAGAGCGAGGGAGAGCGAGGGAGAGCGAGGGAGAGCGAGGGAGAGCGAGGGAGAGAGAGGGAGAGCGAGGGAGAGCGAGGGAGAGCGAGGAAGAATCAGAGGTAAACAGAGGGAAGGAAAGGGCAGCGGCGCCCAACCCAACCACCGCGGCTGAAAGAAATCACATGCTTGGTCAGGTCGAGAGGCACGATGAATTTCGAGAATCCTAAAACATCTCTCGCTTGATGAAATTCCTTCCCTCTCTCAGGGCGCTTGGTGAAATTCCTTGTCCAGATTGAGACCCTGAGAGTCTATTTTTGAGGCGTCTATTTTTTAGGCGCCTCAAAAATAGATTCCTTGTCCAGATTGAGACCCTGAGAGAGCGGGAAGGAGAGGGAAACGGGAGAGCGAGAAGAGAGACACAAAATGAACCTTGTGTCTCTCTTCCGTGTCACTTGTGCTTTTGGTCGTGCCTTGTGAATAAGATCACTCAGGATCTCATCTAAAAGTGATCTGCTCCATCGTCAACACGTAGCCATCTCTCTCACTGCCTACCCGCCAAGAGGTACACCCCGCGTTCGTTTGTGTCACCATGCTTACGGGAACGCGCGCACGAGCCTTGCAGATAAGATCACTCCGGATCTGCTCCGTCGCCTGCATGTGCCGAAGTTGGCATTTTACCCCCCACTAAGGGGCATATACGTTCGTTACTGTCAACCCACTCACAGGGAAGCGGGCATAAGCCTTATGAAAGAGGTCATTAAGAATCTGCGCCATCTCCTCGCCAGCATGTAACCAGCTCTCTTGCTGCCTCCAACCTAAGAGGCACACCCATTCGATAGTGTCACATCACATCACATCACATCACCCCACACCACTCACCGGGAAGAGCTCGTGTGCCTTGTGGACGAGATCGTTCAGAATCTGCTCCATCGCCAGCATGTAGCCATCGTCATCGTCGCCCTGGTTTCCTGACGATGCTGAGACGTCTGCATAGCACCGCAATGCGTGGTATGCCAGAGAACACATTGGCGAGGGCAGGAAAAAGGCATGTGGTGGTATCTTAGAAAGATGGGATCTGCCCCATCGTCAGCATGTAGCCATCGCCGTCGTCACCCTCTCCCAACTGGTGATGCTGGCAGGTCCGTACGGCATGGGGATGGTATTTGGTGCATGGCATGATAATGGCATGTGGTGCATACTGGGTGAGGCGCTACCGGGTGAGGCGCTACTGGGTGAGGTGCTACCTGAGCATCTTTTCACGTGGTTTGCTCCATTGCCAGGATGTAGCTATAGTCGCCGTCGCCCTCAAAACACGACTACAGTGGTCGACACAACTGATATCGCCTCAAAACACGTCTACAGAGCTAAAAGTAAGCCGTGAATACAGTCATCCGCACAGTGCGGAACGACAAGCACCTGCTCGCGTGGTGACTTTTGAGTAGACTTAAAAGACACAGCTACGAGTGAGTCGCGAATACAATCGTCTACGAAGCGACTCGCACCTGCTCGCGTGGGAAGGATCGTGGCGCGCGTGGGTCGGACATTTAGGAGCGTGACGTGATCCCCCTGCTTGATTAGGTTATCCAGAGCCCAGAGGAACGCCTCGCGGCTTCCCTCGCGAGCGTCCATCGCAACCACGATCTGCCGCTCCGCCATGGTTCCTCTCACTCTTGCCGAACCTTGCGGGGTCTTGCCGAACCTTTCCGGGCCTTGCCGGGTCTTGCTGAGCCTTGCGGGGTCGTGCCGGGTAACTTGCCGGACCTTGCGGGGTCTCGCCGGGCCTTGCGGTCACCTACAGGTACTAGAATGTTAGACAACTACTAGCAGAAAAAGCCTGACGGGGAAGATACGTTTTTCAACGCTTATTTTCAGGCAAGCTTGGGGAAACTACGATTTATAAGCTGTTTAGGTGACCAAGTACGCTAGGAAGCACTAGGCGGGAAACGAAACGAGGAGTAGTCTGGGCGATAGAACCTGCATTCACCATTCAAGAATGAAAGAACAAGATCGCGAGATGCAGAAATAGAACTGTTGAAGAAAACTTGGGCCTGAGCTGTCAGCGGTTTGGTTTGGCTTGGCTTGGTTTGATCAGGGTTGGTTTGGTTTGGGGGAGGTGGGCCCGCGAACATGGCTGTCATGGCATGGTGTCATCGAGGGGGGAGGCGAACATTCTGCTGAATCGAGGCCTTCGGGAATATCGATCAAGGCGAAGCGTGTGTGGTGGCGTGGTAACCAGACCGTGCCAGCTCAGCCTTCCTCGGAAGAGAGAGACAGTTTTGGGAGGCTGGGACGTTGCTGTGGGAGAATAGCAAGGGGGGCTGGTTGGTTTGTAACTAGCAGCAGATGAGCTGCCGAACCTGGTTTGGAGGTAGGTAGGACGCTGCAGATTTTTGCTCGACAGAACGAGCCTGCGTGTGCGTGAGGCACGTGTAACCCATAATGGTAGCGCTGGCAGTCGAAGAGGTGACGTCAGCTGTCCAAAGTAATCTACCGCGAAGCACCAGTGCAGATGACGCAAGCATACCTGCCCCCCCGTAGGGTGTAAGGAATGCGTAAATCCTTACTGAGGCTTGCTACAGGGCGTACGACTCGAACAGTCCCCAACCATCGCCAGGCTTCCAGACCTATCAGTTCGAGCCTCCGGGGCCTTTCCGGACCTCGCTACAACACATCGAGGCCCTTCGATACTTTTCCCGAACCTTCCGATCCTACGTCCAGGATCACCCTAGGCTTTCTATATATTGTGTGTTCTTTCATTTTATTGTCATTCACTCGTTCACAGTTTCGCCATTGCCCTCCGCGCTACTCGGCAGTCCCATTCATGACACTTGGTATTCAGAGCCACTTTCCTCACCCGCTGGGCTTCTGAGGGCAATTTTTTTTGGGAGGGGGAGAAGGCGGATGGCGCTACAGAAGGCATTGCGGTTGTCCTGAAGCATGATATGATATGCTTCAACAACTGCGTCTGCGTGGGCTTCTAACGACCGTCGATCCGACCCCAAGGGACGAGCAGGATTCGCTCGGCCATCCCCTCGAGGGCGGTTGTGTCCGTCCTCACATGGCGAAGTTTTTGAAGAGTGTTTCCGGTATGTTGATAATTTCGCATATCGTCCGTTCGTCCGTTCACCCGCGGCTCTGTTCGTCCGTTCTTTCCGTTTATGTGCCATTTGTAGGGCATGAAATAATTTGGTAACATCACTCTTAGAGAAAGAAATGCTTACAAATATATTTCATGCCCTACAAATTGCACATAAACGGAAAGAACGGACGAACAGAGCCGCGGGTCCGAGGCCGAGTTACAAGTTGTTGCGATAAACGCCTCTTGAAGTAACTCTTTAAGATGGAGTCCTTCGCGAACTGCTGAGCTTGCTGCGATAAATTCTGCTTCGGCTGACGAAAGTCTGATGTACTTCTCTTTGAAGTTTAAGGAAATCATACCACCCGGTTCAAGCTTGAAGATGAACCCTGTGCGTAAACGCCTAGTGTCAGGGTCAGCAGCGTGATCCGCACCAATGTATCTAGCCAGTCGGAAATTTGATGCAGTATTTGTAGTGTAGCTGTGTGTCAAACATGTTGTGATATAATTGATACTTAGCATTTCTGTAAGTCGATTAAGTGTAGTTAGTGTCGAATCCTACAGTAGAAGATAAGTCCGTAGGATGACGTCAGCAAATAGCGCTCGTCATAGAACAGTCGTTTCAGTCACGCGAACAGTCGCATCTCTTCATTATCATCTAGGGCGCATAGCGCGATAGTGACGAACAGGTACATTAGCGAATAGGTACTTTTCGTAGAACTATAAATCCTTGTTTGGTCTTCTCATTATTAACTTTGATTACTCACAAGTTCACGTACTCAGGTTATTCAACCTTGACTATTACATTTTACAAGACTTCCGCTGTCTTACTAGTCTACCATTCCAGCAAAGATCCTGGACCAACACTTGAGGATTTGCCAAGTGTTCGTGTTTATAGTTTTATACTTAGTCTACTACAACACCAGACGATTTATTTCAAAACATATCTTGTATGTTGTTATAGACTATACAGGGTTGTGCCTTAGGGAGTACAACCATTAGGTTATATTACCTTCTATGTCACTGTTCTAGTCATTCTTTCACTTCAACATGGTATCATGAGTAGGTTAGGTCCCCCCCGCCCACTAGCGCTTCCGCCCTAGGTCCTAGCCGCCCCGTTCCCCTCCCGCACGTGCTGGCTCGTCTCCTAGCCAGCCCCGTCGCCTAGCCGGCCCTGTCGCCTAGCTGGCCCCATAGCCTAGCCCGCCCCATCGCCTAGCCGGCCCCGCCTCCTAGCCGGCCCCGCCTCCTAGCTGGCCCCGCCGCCCAATTGGCCCCGTCGACCCCGCCTCCTAGCTGGCCCCACCGCCCAATCGGCCCCGTTGTCCTAGCCGGCCCCGTAGCTCAGTCGGCCCCGCCTCCTAGCCGGCCTCGCCTCCTAGCTGGCCCCGTCGCCTTATCGGCCCCGCCTAGCCGGCCCCGTCGTCCGTCCGGCCCCGTCGCCTAGCTGGCCCCCGTCGCCTAGCCGGCCCCGTAGCCCAGCCAGCCACGTCTCCTAGCCGACCTCGCCTCCTACCCGACCCCGCCTCCTAGCCGGCCCCGTCGCCGCGCCAGCATAGTCACCCAGCCGGCCCCGTCTACTAGCTGGCCCCGCCTCCTAGCCGACCCCGACTCCCTGCAGCAGAATGGGGTCGCTGAGTGATGCATCGGCTTGGTCATGGAGGTGGCTCGTACCTCCATGATCCATGCCAGTGCACCCCGTTTTTTGTGGCCATTCGCCGTTCGTTACACCGCCCACCAGCTTAACATGTGGCCGCACCCTCAGCGGCCGCAGGTTTCGCCGACCCTCCTCTAGACCTGGTCTCCTGGTGCCGCGTCTGCGTTCCACGTCTGGGGCTGCATTGCTTACGTTCGTGCCTCTGGCATGAACAACCTCACTGCCCGCACTGTCCTTTGTGTCTTCCTAGGTTTCCCCCTCGACTGGTTGGACAGCTAGTTCTACCACCCGCCTTCTCACCGTTTCTTTCACTCTCGCGATGTCACCTTTGACTAGTCCGTCTCCTTCTACCACCGCTTTCCCCACCGTGGTCCCCCGGTCACTCCTCCTCAGTTCCTGGTTCCCCCCCCTCCCTCGGTCGCCCCTGTTCCCCAACCTCCCCGCCCTGCCCCGTCTGGTGTGTCTCACGTCATCCCCTTCCCGTCGGTTGTCCCAGCCGAGGAGTCTGCTGACTCTCATGGCTCGGCGGAGTCTCTTCCCCCGCCTGTCCCCGCCCTGGTCTCCCCTCCCGTGTCGTCGCCGTTGCTGTCCCAGTCGCAGCCGCCTCCGCCCCTGCCACCGCAGCCGCAGCCGCATCCGCTGTCGTCATCGCCGCTGGGGTTCGTGCGTTCTGGGGGTGCTAGGGAGCAGACTGGAGCTGGTTCTGGAGTGGGCTCTGGGGGTGCTGGCGTGGGGCTTCTCGAAGGGAGTCGTGTTGTCGTTGGAGGTTTTGGTGTTGGAGTCGGGCAACAGTCACCCCCGTCGCCACCGGTGTCCGCTCTTCGCCTCCTCGGTCTTCCTTCCCTTGACCACCTGCCGGTGCCTCCCCCGTCTCCGCCGCCTCCTCCTTTGCCAGTCCACGGCCCAGTGTTTCCTCCCCCGGACTCCTCTCCAGCTCGTTTCCCTTTCTGTTCTCCTCCTCGGTCTCCTCCCCTCTCTCCTGACCCGACTCCTCCGTCTCGCGTCTGGTCTCGTCATCCATCTCGTGCTCGTCCTACCTCCCCTGTGCCGTGTTCTCACCCTATGTTGCTTCGCTCTCACGCGTCTCGTGCTCCTCCTCTCCTCCCGTCTCCTCCCCGGTCGTTACTTGCTGTGGCCCCGCCTCCATTCTCGGACTTCCTCTGTGCTGCACGTCCCCTTGTTCCTCGTGTCCTTGCCTCTCTCGTTACCTACCCGTCCGTTCCTGTCTCGAGTCTGTCGGCACTTGTCGTTGCAGTCAATGACTTTGCCGCTTCTCGTCGCCTGGACTACGCCACCGCTCTGGTCTCTAACCCTGTCTGCCCTCCGGCCGTCGGGGGTGTGGCTGCTCTTGGCAGTGACGTCCTAGAGGAGAGGCAGTTCGAGCTCGCCTTCCTGTCTGAGGCCGCTCCCTTTCTCTGTTCCATGCTGCTAGTCCCTAAGGGTGACCCAGACGCCCCTGACATCCCGACCCCTCGCACCTACGCTGAGGCCACCTCGGGACCCTGGGCCTCTCAGTGGATAGCTGCCATGGGGCAAGGGAGCTGCGCCGCTACCTTGGCTTGCAGATCTCCAGGGACAAAGCAGCGCACACCGTCACTCTCTCACAGTCACACTTGGTGCGCCAGGTCCTTCAGAGCGTCGGCCTCCAGCTCTCTTCCGCACTGCCCACCCCTCTGCCAGTAGACCACCGACTCTCTGCCCCAGTCCCGGAGGAGGCTGTAGAGCCTAGTGGTCCCTACGCAGAGCTGGTGGGTTGCCTCATGTACCTGATGACTTGCACTCGTCCAGATCTTGCATACCCTCTCAGCATCCTTTGATGGCTCGCTTTGTGGCCCCCGGCAGACACCGACCACAGCACTGGTCGGCAGCTAAGAGGGTTGTGCGCTATCTAGCAAGTACATCGGGCATGGGGCTAGTGCTAGGAGGACGTAGACCAGTGGTCCTTACCGGGCACAGAGACGCTTCTTGGGCAGACGACGCCGAGACTCTCAGGTCCTCACAGGGCTACTGCTTTAGCCTTGGTGCAGGTGCCATCTCGTGGAGGTCCACCCGCTCCTCGTCAGTTGCCCAGTCTAGCTGTGAGGCTGAGATCTACGCTGGTGCCATGGCGGCACAGGAGCTCCGCTGGCTGACCTTCTTGCTCACCGACCTAGGTGGGTGGCCTAGCTGTGCCCCGGTTCTGTACGCTGACAACAGGGCCATGATCCTCCTGTTTTAGGAGCCATGACTTAAGGGCAGAGCGAAGCACATCCAGCTGCGGTAATGCCTCTTG